CCCCAAAACCCCAAAACCCCAAAACCCCAAAACCCCACAATGCAAATTATCTAATTTAGAAGTATAAAGATAAAATTTAATTCAATGGAAGTTATTTTAGCAAATAGATATATATTAGGTAAAAAGATCGGTAGTGGAGCCTTTGGAGTTATCTATGAAGGTAAACAAATAGAATGTTTTAATTTTTAAAGGTCAATGTTTGAAAGATGGGTAGAAAGTAGCTATCAAAATGGTAATAATCTAATAGCATTTTCCTAATCTTCAAAATGATTATTAGTCATTAATATATCTTGTTGTAGGAAGATTAAGCCACGACATAATAGCAAAGTCTAAAGTTTGAATATTCAATCCTCTGAAAGATATAAGGTGAAAGTAATATATATCTCGTTAACAGCATTAATATAGCTGGAATCCCTCGAGTATATTGGTATGGAGAAGATGCAGGCTTCAATATTTTGGTTATGGAACTATTGAATGAAAATTTAGAAGAAATGTACAATAGAAAGCTGAAGAGAGAATTCAACATGATGACTATTCTATTACTTTCAGACTAAATGGTAATTTAAACCATTTTATAATTATATAAGCTTTGCAGATTAAAATCGATTCATGATAAGGGGATCATTCATAGAGATATTAAGCCTGAAAACTTTCTTATTTAAAAAAATACCTCTGAAATCAATACTTATTCAAGCAGTGCTCTGAATCACTCCTCAGATAAACTTCTTAGTTCTAGCAAACATAAACCACTAGAACTATTAAAGAAATATCAATAAACAGTATTTCTTGTCGATTATGGTTTGTCAAAATCGTACTTAAATTCATAAACTGGATAGCATTTACAATGTACCAAAAAGTAGCATTTTGTGGGAACAGCAGGATACTCCAGTTTAAACTCTCATAGACTACTTGGTAAGATTATCATCTGATTGATTAAATTAGCATTGTGTAGAATAAAGCAGAAGGGATGATCTGGAAAGTTTATCAAATATTATGATTTATTTTTGCAAAGGCAAACTACCTTGGCAAGGACTACATGGTGGTAAGGATAAGATGGATAAGTATAATATGATTACTGACATTAAGTTTAAAACATCTGTAGATGAACTTTGTGAAGGACTTCCAAGTAATTATATTTTTAGCAATTAATTTGAGTTTAGTTGAATTTGCTTTATTTTGCAGTTATTGTTGAGGCCTAGAGTTTGAGCAATAGCCAGATTATGGATATCTAAGAAGATTAATCAAAGATTTGATTTATAAGGAGAGCTTTACTCAATAAATTGCATTTGAATGGCTCATTCCAAAACAAGAACGAAAAGCCATTTCTTCTGATAAGAAAGACACAATCAAAAGTTAATCAATAGGTCGGAATACAACTAGACCTAAAACTTTGATGTTTAGTAAGTTTTCAAGCCAAACTAGAAAGGCTCATTCTAAAAATTAAGGCACCATACCTGGAGAGTAGCAGCAATTGAATAATGCTTAGAACATCATTTAGAATTTCAGATAATTCAATATTCAAAAATAAAATCAAAATAAGTAAAAAGAATAGTTGCTATAATAGAAGCAGGAGTAGTAGAAATCAGAAGGAAATTAGGTAAATATAAAAACAGTTTCATTAAAAGCAGGTATTACCAAAATTAATAATAGCACAGAGAAACCTGATTTCAAAAATCATCAAACAGTGACTATTAGTAATTTTAATTAAGAAAGACCAAAGCAACATTTAAACACTATTCAAGAAAAAGGATCCATTTAAAAAATAATACTCAAAGCTAGTCTAATAAATAAACTTGCAGCCAATGATAAATATAATGATCAAACAGAGTCTAAATCATCTACAACTCCATTAAGAAGGAAAGAATAGTAACTTCAAATAATCGGAATAGAGAATTCTATGTCAAGCAAACAAATTGAGAGGAGGATTTCGGTAGCTAGTGATTAAGGGCCAAAACTTAAAAACATTTTTGAAATGAGACGAAAAACTGAGAGTTGTGTTAATAGTGACATTAATAACTTAGAAAATTTGGAGAAAAAATATGCTGCACATGCAGAAACGATTCTTGAGGAGGAGCAAAAAACACCTAAATATGATTAGACCTTGAAGAAATTGAAAGGAAGGGAAGCTCTAAATAGAAATAATAGGATTAAACTTATAGGCAGATTAAATGACTCAGAAGGAGCAGTATCTGAAATCAACCGAGCTAAAAATAAACTCCAAAGCTAATTTGCTAATTTTCAAAATGTATAGCAAAAATTATTAGATCTCAACCCCAATCTTAAAATAAACAATAATCCAGGATAGATTAAAAGTCATGATGTTTCTCTTAGGAAGCCTAAGAAGTGAAACTTTCTCTGAGTCAATTAGTTAGAAATGAAGTGATGAATTGAAAGAGACAGAAAAGACTACTTAATTAAATGTAAATTAGCTTCAAATATTTAAAATTCAATAATTTATTTACACATCTTCAGCTTTTAATATTGGCATTTTGGGGTTTTGGGGGTTTTGGGG